CTGGCGAGTATCATGAATGCGCATAATATACAGTATCTCGTGTCATTTATAAGCCCGATGTGAAGAGAGATAAGAAAGGTACACATGTGTACCTTCTGTACCTTTTCAACGAACGTATTTTACGACACACGTTTGTACCTCATAACGTACAAAATGTGTTCCTGACTATACGTTTCTGCTTTGCTGTGCAGGATTTCGAAGACTTTCGTTACACGAAGGAAATGAATGCAGTATTTGTCATTCGAGCCAGGCATTTTTCACTCGACCGGTGCATGGGAATTGCTTCCCAGATGTTGCAGTCGAGTGAAAAACGCTGTAACTCACATGCACCTCGGACTTTGGAGTTTTCTTATGAGCGAGAAAGAGTTGCTGAAGCATCCTAATTTCCAAGAATTTTCTGAGCGACTTGAGCACATCGTCGCTGCAGCTGCAAACCGCGAAAGGCAGGCGAAGAAGTCCATTACGTCTAGATCTCTTCTAAGATGTATAACCTGGGCTTGGAAGCGGGAAATCGATGATGAATCCTTACTGAGTCTCACTTCAACTACCGCGACGGCTCCACTGTTAGGGTGCAAAGAAGACTTATCCTTATAACAATGGCTGCTGAAGAGCAAAAAAAAAAAACCCCACCGAAATGACTCTAAGTTCAAATCCTTTCGGTACAGAACCGAATTTGCGAATAAATCATGTATAATTTACTCCGTGAATTGATAAGAAAACAAACTTCTTAGCAAGAAAAAAAATCGTCCGTTTAAATATAAAGATTACTGACGATTTCAAGAACGCGACATGTTTTCTTCTCGTGCCACGTTGTTGAGATGCAGGAGCAACGAAACTCGAGGAAATCAGGCGTCGGGACGCAAATTCCTGAGCAATGGGAACAGATAACGAAATCAGAAGATACCGCTGCCGACGGGTTCGCGAGCAACATAGATGAGGGCGCAGAGGGAAAATGACGTCGTTCCATTGTCATTGTAAAAAAAATAAAATAGTTCAATCGCCGTGGCTCTTGAAGCGCGATACCACGGGATTCTACCGCTGATTTCAGCTCGAGGTTCGACATGGCGAGCGATTCGGCGAACGACCGAGTTTTAAATAAGTGTATTTCGAAGGACGATCAACCGGAAATATTGAAAAATGCAGTTCCCACGTGGCTTTCTCCGGCGTACTCCATCACGTGCGTCTCGACGTGAAGTCCTTCCCCGCCGAGTCTGATGGGGCAGGAGAGACCGGGCCGTGCGACGAAGCAGACCGTGAAGAGGGCCATCTCCAGTTCGGGACTGGCGCCGATGAACATGCTGCTGATGGGCTTCTTCTTCCCGTCCCAGTTGAAGGAATTTTCCAGCAAGATGCCCTGGGGGAATTTTCATCGTCGAAGAGGGTCTGATATTAATCGACGAGGGAATGAACATCCGCAGACCTTGTCGGTGAGGTTCCTGAAGGCCTTGTATCCGAGATAGTCCATGCGTCCCTGCTGTTCTTGCGCGTAGAAAAAAAGCCAGCCGTGGAACCCGATCACGGAGTTTGTCCTCTGTTCCCCCATGAAGACGTGCTCGAACCCGCTGGAGCCCGGGCTGGTGCCGTTGACCCTCGGGTACATGTCGAACCACATCGCTCTCAGCCGCGCCTCGAAGGCGGCTTCGTCGTCCTGGATCGCTCCTGGGGCGGGTCGATCGTCAGTTGGCTTCGATTTTCTTCGTCGTTGGTTGGTCTGAGGAGGGGAAACTCACCCTTTTGCACGAGGAAATTATGAGCGGATTTTACGATGGGAGTTGAGATGACGGAGTCGAGGAACGATTGCCACATCTTTTCTTCCGATGTCTCGTTCTCCGGCTCGGTCGTGTTCGGCTTGTAGTTGTTAAAAAGGGCCATCATCTTCGATACGGTCTCGATGGAGACGACCTCGTCGGGCAATTTGCCCGCAAAGAGACTGGAAACGTGGTCGATTTCTCGGATTTCTCTCTATTGCGAAGGAGGCGTTTGGTACTTACGGTCCAGGTGCTGCGTCTTCTCCGGTCTCGCTGATGTGACCTTGAAGGTTGACCTTGAGGAGTCTTCCCACGTTGTTCTGGTCCATTTCCAGCAGGAATTCCGCAAAGGCCCTTAATTCATCGTCCGTAACCGGTCCTAAAAAGGAGTGGTACGAATCACGAATCCACCCGACGACGAAGGAAAAAAAATCTCGGGCAACCGTCGAACCTGACGACCCATCGCAACTCAAGTAGAAGTCCATGCAGCATTCGCCCCGGATCAGACATCCGTCGTCGCACTGACAGGGGAAGCGTCCGTCGTGCTCCGTGTCGCATCTCCCGAAGCACGACCGAGCCCCGTCCGGCCCGTCTCGAGCAGGACCTGAAAAGGCCGATCGAAGGTCGTCACCGCGTCGAGCACCTTCCGAAAAGCGGCCCGCGAGGAACTCGATCGCAACGAACCCAAATACGTGATGGAGTGATGAACGAGAGACAGAAGCAACACGAGAACGAGAAGGAGAACCACAAAAAACGTCCCCATCACCGCAAGTATCCGTCCCCCTGAAAAAAAAGGCGTGGAACCGTACACGCACCATACCCAACCCTCCTCCCAGGTCGCCCCATGGATTTTACCTGGCGAGGAAAGAGCCTCCGATCTGCCCTCCATCTCGTCGGCACGCACTTTCTACGCGTCTGTTTCCACTCGTGGCAGTGGACGAGGAAATTCTCGCTGCCATTCCGCCTGTTATCGCGCGGTCCTCTTATCTCTTCCGCGATATCTGCCGATTATTTTTTTTTATCTCAGCCTTTGTTTCTAGATACGGTTAAATTTTTTTTTTTCAGTGAATTTCGCCACGCGCGTGAATTTTTAATATGACATTTCTTTTGCTCTCATTTCTGTGAGAAAAAAACCGAATGTTAATTTGAGGTACCGCTAATTACGGTTCATTATCTATCGATGCGCAGAAGAACCCCGAAAGACATTCGTGAAAAATCTGCGATGTAAACACGATCATTTCTGATTTTACGGCCCGCAAGCATGGACTCGTAATCTGATCGTGGGCAGATAACATGGATAGAATTATTCCCACGAGAAATGCACGGCAATCATTCTGCGGCATTCGCTTCAAGCGGTGCTCGAGTCGATTTTGCATCTGCAGATAGCGGTTATTTCCCTTTTCGTGCATTGGCGAATGTTTTTTTTTGCGAGAACTTAGAAGGAGAAATAAATAAATAATATATATATATAAATCCTTCCACGGCACCTGCCGGTATTTGGAGATATGAGGGGGGATGAACCACATCCCAGACCTCATACTCGTCTTAATTCTGAAGGACACGGCGAAGGATGCTGGCCGTGCCCAAGATTGCTGTACGCTGGAGGATATCTAGTGATATTTCACACTCCAGCATCCTGACATGTCCTTTGAGGTCTTTCAGGACGACGCCAGTTGTGCCTATGATGATCGGAACGATGGTGGTCTTCATTCCGCACAACTGTTCCACTTCCACTTTCAGTTCGGAGTATTTCTCCAGCTTCTCCCTTCTCCTCAGGTCTTCTCTTGGAGGTTGTTATCGACTGGGATGCTCACATCTACGAGGAGGGCGGTCTTCTTCTCCTTCTTATAGATCGTGAGGTCCGGCCTATTGCAGCCTATACTGCGATCTGTAATTATCGGCATGTCCCATAGTATCTTGGTGGAGGCGTTCTCCACAACAGACTCTGGCTGGTGTTCGTACCACTTATCTGGGACTTCCAGGCCGGCTTGCTTTGAGACACACCAGTGCACATATTTGTACACTTGGTCGTGCCTGTACAAGTACTCCCTCGGGGCTAGTTCGGGGCAGGCACTGAGGAGGTGGTGAACCGTTTCGGGTGGTCCATGACAGCATCTACAGCGGTCTTCCACATCCNGCCAACACCCCCCCCCCCCCCCCCCCCCCCCCAAGCAGGGAAAAGGGTCAATCTCTAGCGTCTAAAATTACTCCAGAACTAAAGATATTTCCATTTTCTGAGTAAAACTGAGGGTGGCATCCTCCATTGCTTCGTACATTCAAACACGTTTTGGCGCTCCTGGTGAATCTGCGCCCTGTGCTGGGGCACATGTGCCGCATGTCTAAGCCCGGCCCTGCGCGGACTCCAGAGATTAAATGCCGTTTGGTGGGGGAAAAGTCGGGGATTACATTCAGGTTCTTTTCAAAGCGAAATTCCGGAAGATGTGTGCGTCTGCAAAGAACTGCCCCCTTCAGACAAAGACATCACTCTCTACATCTCTTCTAAGATGTGTAACCTGGGCTTGGAAATAAGAAATCGATGAGAAGTCCTTTCTGAGTCTCACTTCAACTACGGTGATGACTCCACTGTTAAGAGTGATAATAATTAAGTCAATATCTATAATATGTCTGCGTGCTTGTGAGAGAGAGAGAGAGTGTTTGTGTGTGTGTGTGTTTGTGGGCGTGCATACGTACATGCAAAAAAGAAAGACTGTCAACGTTATTCAGTACGAAGAATTTGCTCCCATTGGAGCCTTTTTCGCAAAACTTTTGTTAGACATAGATGGAAATGTTCCAAACACGAGCAGTCTTTCCCTTTTCACGGATCCGACTGTGGCGATAGGAAGCCTAGGAATATGGGGATTTTAACATGTATTTCAGCGAGGCGGTTGGTGAAGAGGCGAAGAGGAAATCAGATTCCCCGAGAGAAGATTGTAGGATCGTCTTGTCAATTCCGTGTCTCTTTGCAGATCTGCTCACTCTGAAATCTTCTTCTCTTGATTTGCATGGCTTTATCTCCTCTACTCTCACTCTGTTTCGTTCCGAAATGTTTCGATTCGAAACCCTGATGTAGAGCGAGAGGTTGGTGGGTGTCATTAGGGCCGGAACCGCCGGCGGGGAAATGAAATTCAGACGTGCTACTTTATCCGTTTCCCACTGAAAGCGTTCCCAGTTCAAGTGTCAAATATGCTTCTCATGGTAATAACTTAGGCGATATCCTAAGTTTTCTTAAGTTTCATTCATCATTCAGCTCCGAAAATGCTGACGAGCAGGATCTATTTAACCCTTTCACGCATAAATTTTTCGAGCAAAAGAAAAATATGCCTTTTTTGGTTTTAACGTGTACTCTGTCGTCGTATTCGCATGTTTCACCGCCTGAAAGCAATAACTGAAGAGATTATGTGCCCTTGAGTTGACTGCATACACCAAAAGTTTCGAGGTATGCGTATCATAGCTAAAAATCCATCATAATCGGCAAAAATTTTGCTCTATAGATAAACATCTGTCGAACGACGAAATTTAATTATCGTACAGTATATTCCATGATGCTCAACTGGAGATCACAAAATACGCAGTCCCCACGTGCCTCGTCCCCTCGTACTCCATTACCACGGTTTGTACGTGGAGTTCCTCCCCGGCGAGTCTGACGGGGCAAAGAGAGTCGGGCCGTGCGACGAAGCAGACCGTGAGGAGGGCCAATTCCAGCTCGGGGCTGACGCCGATGTAGGTGGTGCTGATGGGCTTGCGGTGCCCGTCCCATTCGAAGGAGAGATCCAGGAGGATGCCCTGCGGATGCGGTCGAGTCTGTTGAATGGGGGGCGGAATGATGAGATTACGAGAATGAACGCGGCGGACCTTGTCGGTGAGGTTTCTGTAGTTCATGTATCCGAAATAGTTCATTCGTGAAGCCCGTTCTTGTAGGTAAAACCAGAACCATCCGTGGAAGCCGGTGACTGCGGTGCCCTGGAATTCCCCCATGAAGACGTGTTCGAAGCCGCTGGATCCCAGGGTGTCGCCGTCTCTCGGGTACATTTCGAACCACATCTCCTCGAGTCGCTCTTTGAAGGCGGGTGGGTCCTCCGGGATCTCCTCTGATTCCGCTCTGTCGTCAGTTAGCTTCGTTTTCTCTGCTCTATATTGATCGATGAAGGAGAAACTCACCTTTGTCCACGAGGAATTGGTATGCAGATCGCATGACATCAGTGGCGATGACGGCGTCGAGGAAGGCATCAACCTCCTCCTCCTCTTCGAATGTCACGTTTTCTGACTCAGTTATGTTAGGCTCGTAGTTGTCAAAGAGGGCCATCATCTTAGCTACGGTCTCGATGGACCAGATCTCCTCCGGCAATTCTCCCACAAAGAGACTGGAAAATTGTTTACTTCCTCGAATTCCCCAGCCCTGAATCAGGTATTTGGTACTTACGGTTCAGATGCTTCATCTCCTCCGGTTTGTGAGGTTTGACCTTGAAGTTCCACCGTGACGAGTCCTCCCACATTGTTTACGTCCATTTCCAGCAGGGATTCCGCCAAGATCCGCAAATCTTCATCCGTCACCAGTCCTTAAAGAAAAATTTGGACGTTTTTGGACTATCGCGAATGACCCATACCAGAACAGCACGAACGAGCGAAATAATTTGAGGGCCGTCATACTGGTCGACCCGCCGCAATGCTTCCGGAAATCCTGACAACAGTTGCCCTCCTGGATGCACTCGTCGTGGCATTGACAGGGGAAGCCGTCGTCGTGATCGATGCCGCACCGATCCTTGCATCCGAGGCAGACCGTTTCGTAATCCTCGCAGCAGTCAGCGAGACTGACGCAGAGCCAATCGCATTGGCACGGCCGATCGTGATCTTCCCCGATCGAGTCGCATCGTCCGGCGCAGGAAGTCGGTCCCTGGCGAGAGCCTAGTAAGGCCGATTCGGGGAATATACGGGAATCGGTTTAATACACGTATATATATCATTTATATTTATGGAGAGCGATCGTGAAGTGACAGACCCAAGGACGAGGTGGATGAGTGGATGAGAAAGAGGAGAACTAAAACATGCCAGGGAATGAAGCACAAGTTCCCCATCACCGAGGATGTATTTTGTATTTGTTTGGAGGGAAGAAACAGGCTATGTAGGAGCCGAAGGAAACTTCCCTCGTCAGTCCTCGCATGTGGCCTGGCTCCCGTGCTTGCGTGTGACCGCGACGGGAAACCACAGCTGCAGCTTCCCGTCTTCGTTTCTCTCATGACTTCGGCTTGGTGACTGCAAGGACTTCGGTTTGTGATGATGGGTGGGGGGGGGGGGGTGTGTGGGAAGGATATCTCTTTTTATTTTCGTCGCTTTTACTTATTTCACCACTTTTCGTTTCGTTTTCGGCGTCATTTCTGTTATTTTTATGCCCAATATTGCCTTTTAGCCCAGTTTTTCTGAGAGCAGTAGTTTTTCAATAAGAGGGAAAGGGATGATTGCAATTCTGTTCTTACCGAAAGGGTATGCACTTCATCCAATCATTCGTTGCCGTACGGAAACGATAAAGACGTGAATGATGACCTTCACATTTCTGGCGTCTCATTCGGTTCGAAAATGATGCTGCGAAAATACGCAATCCCCACGTGCACCACTGAAAAACACTGGATGAAAAGTTCCTGAGCCATTCAGATGGGACAGAGGGATTCGGGCGATGCAGCAGGCCGTGAACAGGCTGTATTTCCAGTTCAGGACTGCCGCCAATACTGCTGCGACCTTAACGGTTCCCGTCCCATTCCAAGGAATTTTCGAGTAGGATGACCAGGTTTTCTTTTTTTTTTGCCGACAGTTGAGGAGATTAAAGAAAATCACTGGATCGCGAAGATGAACTTTGTCGAAGTTTTTTTTTTGGAAAAGGACGTTGCCGAGACGTTGAGTAATTTTCAACGTTGAACAGTTTCTCATTTATTCATTGATGGAACGCGAAATGAACCTTTTCCGCGACGTTGTGGCAACATTGCCGCGCTGAAAAATCCATCTGCATGAGAAGTCCTGAAAACCGATAGCGAGTCACTACCCGATACCGCCGATGTCGTGGGGTTTCTTTGGCGCCATCTCGCTTCACTCATGGGAAGCTTGTTTCATAGAATAAAAGCGATAGACGTCTCACCAAAGAAGGAAATTTAAAACTAATATTAGCTGAAAATGAAGCAACAGGAGCCTATAATGCTGAAGCAACTGAGCCATTCTCTACTGAATTTTAAGCCACTTGTCCTAATCTCTTGTACTAATCTGTAAGTCCACTTGTACTAATTTCTTTATTTTTCCATATTTTCTTTCTCCTCGCTATCCTTCCTCAAAACCGGTTCAGAAACCTGCGATCCTGTTCGCTCATGATGGGCACCGATAAAATTGACGAATTTCGCGCCTATTAACTAACCTCGAACTCGCAGTTCATAATCTAGAGACTTTTATTGAACTTCTGAACGATGCTTTGACAGGCGCATCTGGATGGTGCTCTCAGGAGCACCATAATATTCAATAATTTGATGCCATTTTTCGGTTAATTTCGTGATTCTTAATGGCATTCACAACATTTACGAGATACCACGGAAGCAGCGTTTCCCCGCACCCCTCTCGGTTTTTCATTCGTATGTGAAGCCTGGAAGAAAACCCCAAGCACAATACCTGGTCATGCATGCATTTTTCCCCCCCACAAGTAGGCTCATGCTCCACAGTTAGCAGCACTTAAAATATTGTATGTGCGATGTTACTTTTGCCCCTCGACACAACTTTCCACGGGGCAAAACATTTGGTTTCAGCAAATGATGCGGTGCGGCCTAAGTCTGAATTTCGAGATCATGAGGTTGATACGAAGATCAGGCAGCAAATGTAAAACTTTTACAATTTTTAACGTCATTAGGTAGAATGAAAAACGAAATTGCACCGGAAGATTTAAAAAATTGAATCCTCAATTTTCTTACCAGAGTGCCCAAAATTCAAGTAAAAAGGTTCTTAACCAATCTCAGGGAAGCTCAAAATAAATTATATCAGAGGATCAAGAGTACCATTTATGGACACAAAATGAGGAAATTGTATTTAATGTCCTTGCTGTGAGGCGATGTATTGTTAGATGTACCCTCACCCTGCCATGCGAAAACCCGGATTCGATCTCAACCCTCCAGAGTCGTTCTTAAAAGTTGTAAAGACTCTCCAAGCTCGACATGAACTCCGGGCCGAGATGCCGTGGAGGCATGCATTCAAGTCGATGGAAGGCCGATCTTCGCTGTGTCTTTCCCACGGGAGCTGCAGGATCAGAGTTGAGATTTTTCTTTCTGATCCGTTACCTCGGTCAGAATCACCCTGGGTTGGGTTGCCTCTTCCGTCGAATATATCCGGAAAGTGAAATACCATCCCCGACGTCGTCTGCGGGGAAAACATCAAGTACCGTTCGAAGAGTACTGAGGACGCGTGCCGATCGCACACACGCAGTAACTCGCCGTGTCGGCTATTCGTCGCCATCTCGCTTCGGGGTCAGGGAATCTCGTTTATTCGAATGTTTCGTCCGACATCTGTCGATGCTATGTTGAAAAAATCCTCGCAATATTGTTATTTTCAAGGTGGAGTCAACGTCGACTCGATGTTGGCATCAACATTGATCCCAAAAAGAATTGTCATTTTAATCAACCTGTAACCATGGTACAGTTTTTTCACATACGTAATGATGTTAAGCGACCAAAAAAAAAAAGATTCAAATGAAAAAGTGGGGGTTCAGTTTCTAATGAAACTCGATTCTGCTGCAATATTCCGTATGCCAAGAGAAAGCCCCATGTCAGGTGCACAAGAGAAATTGCTTAATTAGATTCCAAGGGGCCATTCTGGTTGTTTAATGCGGTCAAATTTTCGCGTTTCAGAAACGGCCTTACCTGCACCAAATCGAACGTTTTGATCGAAATGTATTCCCACAGATCAGCTGTACTTCGACAAACCCAGATAAAGGACACACAAAACCTCGGTAGACGCTACACACCCGAGGGATCAGTACCATTAATTAATCGATTGATTAATTTATGGTAATGGTAATTGATTAATTGATGTAACGGGGGTGTTTTGTGCTGTCTGGGGAAGAGGGCGGTCAGGTTTCGTATCGATATGTTGTATGTTCGGCTCAAAATTACGCCAAATGAAGACAATAGAGTAACGAATTATCGATTTTTACTTGCTGCAATTTGCATGTCGATCAAGTAGATATTTCAAAATATGCAACTTCCACGTGCATTCTCCCATTGTACGTGTCTATATACGACTGGATGTGCAGATCCTGCCCGGCCAGGCTGATGGGGCAATAGGAATCCGGCCGAGCGATGAAGCAGACTGTGAATAGGGCCATTTCCAGTTCGGGACTGGCGCCGATGTAGAGGCTGCTGATGGGCTTACATCTCTCGCGCCAGTCGAAGGAATTTCGCAGAATGAAGCCCTGCAGGTATTTTGCAGACAGTTGAGGATGAGTCGAAATGACAGAATCGCGAGGGCAAAAGTGGCTAACCTTTTCGCCGAAATCCATGGTATCCATGTATCCCAAATAGTTCGTGCCTTGCCCCTGTTCGTTCTGTTCCTGATCGTAGAAATAGAACCATCCGTGAAAGCCAAGGACTTCGGTACTCCGTAGTTGCCCCATGAAGACGTTCTCGAACCCGCAGGATCCCAGAATGTCGGCGTCTCTCGGGTACAATTCGAACCACATCTCTTTCAGTCTCTCCTTGAAAGCGTTTTCGTCGTCCTGGATCTCCCCTGTGTCGGCTCTGTTTGTTGTAGGATCGTTTTGCCTGCTCTGTGGGGGTCGGTAGAAGGGAAGCCTCACCCTTTTCCAACAAGAAATGATAAGCAGCTTCCATGACGGGGGTGGCGATAACTGCGTCGAGGAACGCATCAACCTCCTCCTCCTCTTGGAATGTCACATCTTCTTCGTCAGTTGTATAAGGATTGTAGTTGTCAAACAGGGCCATCATCTTTGCTACGGTCTCGATGGAAGTGACCTCCTCCGGCAATTCCCCGATAAAGAGACTGGAAACATGAAAACTTTCTGGAATTCCCGTTCCACGAAACGGACATTTTGGTACTCACGGTCCTGGCGCTACTTCTTCTTCGCAATCAATGTTTGGACCTTGAAATAGAAGACCTTGAAGGTCCACCGTGACGAATCTTCCCACATTGTTCACATCCAATTCCAAGAGGTCTTCCGTCAAAGTTCGCAACTCTTCATCGGTTACTGCTACTTAGTCAAAAATTCATTTGTCGGATAATCATAAATAATACACATTCAACGAATACGACTAAGAAGGAATTTCGAGGAAATACCGCGCGCCCTCTCGCAATGCTGGTCGAAATTCTCGCAGCAGTTGCCGTGGAAAGGGCATTCGTCGTTGCACTGGCAAGGGAAGAAATGATTGTAGTCGATGCCGCATCTATCCTGACAACTCAGGCAAACCTCTTCGTAATCCTCACAACAGCTCCCAAATTCGACGCATTCCTCATTGCATTGACACGGCCAGTCCGGATTATACTCCACGTCACATCTTTCGACGCACGAAGTGCCTTGCCTAGGACCTGTATGGCCGATTAAGGGCACTCAATTAAATGGAGCACGAGACTGTGGAGGTCGACCGCAATTCCGCGAACCCAGATACGAGACGGAGTGCTGGATGAGAGGGATGAGCAGGCCGAAGACGAGATGGAAGCGGAAGATCTCCATCGCCGAGAATGGTTTTCCTTAAACTTGGGGGTTAGGAAGCCCGATGGTGGTGTGAGCTTCGTCTGACGGAGGACTGTGCTTTATACGAAATATCTTGCTATTTTCACAAGTGTCCGTGTTCTCGCGGAAAATGTTTTCTTGGAAAAATAACCCCGGTCTCGCTCCACGTCGCAATTCTCTCTTTCCTGCTTTCGTGGCGATGGCTTGGATTACCTCCTGTACTAGAAACTAGTATTGTACGAGTACCAGTAATGCACCTGTACTAGGACTGTCCTGGTACATCACTTCCAACTCTACGTCCCGCTTTAGTCGCTTTCCGGGAATCGTCCTGGTAATCGGGGGCAGACTGAGGGAGCAGGCAGGAGGGGAGGGTGGCCATATCCCCTTCTTGGAGAAGTGAATAGGGTCATTCCACGTCAGATCGACCAGAGATTTTGGTCGACCATCATCGATTTGGCTGAAATTTGTTGAGAAGGTAGCGCTTGACCCAAAAACGGGAAATCCAAATTAATTTTTTTTCTGACCAATGGTGTGCCCGTGGCGAGGTCACAAAATTTTGACCAATTTTAGCTGGTTCGGCTGACCTCTATCGGACTTTCTTCAATAACTCCTTAGCTATTTCTCATAGAATGTTCATTTAGGACTCATTTTAAAGGTCTCTTTTAACTCTATCTTGTAAATTTATTTCAAGCTAATATTCATGTATACTCATTTTATATAAAAATTCGAAGGCGTTTGACCTTTGACCCTTCATATAAAAATATATAATGTTTAAATTTCACCAACTTTACAAGATAACACGGAAACAATATGGTAATGAAGCTCATACATTTTCAGGAGGATGTTTTGCTCCAGTTTCGAGATATGTGTAAAAATGTGCTTTACATTTTCCGTTTTTGGATCCATTATTTTCAGAAAGCTCAAAAAAAATTTATTTGTTTCTCCGGCAATATGGATTAGGCCGACCTATATCATATTGTCTTAATTATGCGTATATGGAGTTCATACATCTTCAGATTCGGTTTTTCAACCAGCCATGATACAGGTACAACAACAGAAAATTTTTTTCAATAAAATACTGTTTACCAGGCTTCGGAAGAATCTTATTCACGTAAGGAAACTGTGATATCTAGCACATCTTCCTTCGGCACACCCGGAGCTTCTGAATGTGATCCGACATTCTATCCTGCTTCAGAATATCCTGGTGAGACACCTCATAGAGAACCCAGAGAACCCACAATACACTCCTGCAAGACATCGATATAACCCTGATAAATACTGTCTGGTAGTTGTCGGGCACAGTATGCAGAAGGCAAGCTAAAGATGTCAGCCACTATGAAAGTGCAATTGGAATCGATAGCCAAGGCAGAGAATCCTATAGGAAGAACTTAGGCTGAGGATAGATCTTGATTCGAGAAAAGTTACTTTTCAGTCGGTATTGGATGAACTGAAAGAGAAATTCCACAGCACAGTCGAGGGGTAAAAATCCAGATCCTGACTATGGCTCCAAGAGGTTGGACATTAGATGAGTCGGCCAAGTTCTTTGGAGCCACCAAGTAAGGTGTGAAACTGGCAAGAAAAGTGAGGGAGATTAGAGCTCAAAAATGCGAAAAAGGATATTATTCGATAGCGGCCTTAAGTCAGGCCTGAAAGGGTTAATGCAACAATTAAGGGGATGTCGGAGGCTAGTGGGAGTCATCTACCATTCAAGCTGGAAACTGGCAAGAAAAGTGAGGGAGATGGAAGGAGTCCTGGCGAAACCAAAGAAGATTGAAGGCAAGAAACTACCAAAAACAACGATGGATTTGGTGAGGCAATTTTACTATGATGACTCAGTTTCTGGAGCATGTCCAGCTGCAAAGGACTATGTCCCTGTAAAAACAGAGAATGACAGTCGAGAACGACGAACCAAGAGACTGGTCCCTGGCAACCTATACCAAGCATTCAAAAACAAAAATCCAGATGTTCAGGTTGGGTTTTCAAAGTTGGCTGAAGTTTGCCCAAAATAATGCGTTCTGACACATGTCAGATGTGGTACTCATACCGTGTGCGTATACACGGTACATCAAAATGTCAAGCTGGTGTTACATGGGGGAAGAATTAGGCGAACCTCCAAAGAACTGACCCCCAATATTGTCTGTAACCAGTCAACAGAAGCCTGCTTTGTGGGTCAATGCAAATCATTCATACGTGCCTATTTATGCGAACCACCTTCAAATCCGAATCTACTCTGCTGCCTAAACCAGTTCCGTCTGAAATGAGATGAGATAAAAGCTTACATCTTTTCACCTCAATTGCTAAATGTCATATTTCTTGATGTGCTGAATGTTGAAACATGAGATTCAAAATAAAAAAAACGGTGTAGAGCTCCTAATTCAACCTATTCTGACAACACAAGTCAGTCACATTGATAATGTTGGGGCAACATTAATTTTTTTTGAGTTTTCGAAAAATAATGGATCCAAAAAACGGGAAATGTAAAGCACATTTTTACACATATCTCGAAACTGGAGCAAAACATCCCCCTGAAAATTTATGAGCTTCATTACCATATTATTCCCATGTTATCTTGTAAAGTTGGTGAAATTTAAACATTATATATTTTTTATATGAAGGGTCAAAGGTCAAACGCCTTCGAATTTTTATATAAAATGAGTACACATGAATATTAGCTTGAAATAAATTTACAAGACAGAGTTAAAGGAGACCTTTAAAATGAGTCCTAAATGAACATTCTATGAGAAACAGCTAAGGAGTTATTGAAGAAAGTCCGATAGAGGTCAGCCGAACCAGCTAAAATAGGTCAAAATTTTGTGACCTCGCCACGGGCACACCATTGGTCAGAAAAAAAGAATTCATTAGGATTTCCCGTTTTTGGGTCAAGCGCTACCTTCTCACCAAATTTCAGCCAAATCGATGATGGTCGACCATGAAATCATGAGAAAATTGGTCGATCTGACATGGAATCACCCAATAGGAATGAAAGAGGGCATGAATGTGAATGATCGGGATGTTTAAGAACTCAATACACTTTCCCCTTCTCAACTGGTTGCATTCTTATCGCATCTTTGCCCATATTCTCAACAACTCCTTCTAAGTTTTCTTGCTGCAAACCTGTCAGTGTTTCCAAAGATTTGGACTTGGGACTAGGAGGGCAAGGAAAGGGGAATGCTTGACGAAAGCGGCAATGGCAGCGGCGAGGAAAGCGTTCGCTTCGTTTTCCTCTTCGGGTGTCACGTTTTCTGGATCAGTTGTATCAGGCTTGTAGTTTTCAAAGAGGGCCCGATGAACTACATGAGAGCCTGGTGAGGCTTGACCTTGAAGGTCCACCATGACGAGCCCTCCCACATTGTTTACGTCCATTTCCAGCAGGGTTTCTGCCTACATCCGCAAGTCTTCGTCTATCACCAATCCTTTCAGACTTATCCATTCCAATGGACATTGCATTTTCATTGTGTCTATGGCAATTTCTTTTAATTCCCGTGACTTTGCGCTCGATATTATACTACAATGGACGCAATTATGCATGGCTCGATTCCATCGGAGGCCTTCTTTCACCCGTCAGTTTAGTCATCTTCAGCCATGTAATTAAATGTGTAATATATTATATGGTGTGATATGATGAATTCATACAAAATATTAAAACGATATATAAAACATAACAATTTAAATTACAGTAGCGAAAGAGCTGCAGAATGCAAAAAAAGGATATTATTCTGATAGTGGCCTTAATTCAGGTCTGACAGGGTTAAAGGAAAATTGGTGGGTTCGGGACAGTCGCGAATGACTCATATCAGAGCAATAATGACAAGCGAAAGAATTTTATTACTGGTCGACGCGTCGCAGTGCTTCTGGAAATCCTGACAGCAGTTGCCCTGCTGGATGCACTCGTCGTGGCATTGACAGGGGAAGCCGTCGTCGTGATCGATGCCGCACCGATCCTCGCATCCGAGGCAGACCGTTTCGTGATCCTCGCAGCAGTCGGCGAAACTGACACCAGAGCCAATTGAATTTGCACGGCCGGTCGTCTGATCAGCACGGCTGATCGGCTTCCCCGATCGAGTCGCATCGTCCAGCGCACGAAGTCAGTCCATGGCGAGAAACTAGTAAGGCAATTCGGGGAATATCCGGGAATTGGTTTAATCTCGTATAGGTATCAATCCATTCCATACCATATACATACGAGGCTAACCTGTCTGTCATTCTGGTAAACTCCTCCTAGACGGATGAACGGATTTCCATGAGCGAGGTGTCAATCGAAGCTTATTACCTGGAGGCGATACTTATTGCGTAAAAAGTATAAAATGTACGATATGAAAGTGTTTTCTAAGGGTTCTCCTTTCTTTCGGCGCGTCAGAGGCCTGCACAGGTTGACTTTTCCGAGTTTAAACTGGATCGGCCCGATTGGAGTCGTGGCCCGCACCCGACCCAGAACGCGATCGTCCACCGAGCTTTGCTGAGTCAAGCAGTGGTTCGTGTTGTGCTGATATGGCCGGCCTGCATCCCTCTTAGGCCTCTAAGCTCGAGAAAGCCAATCTGACGTATTTGCCCTAAGGGGGGGAAGGGATCCTCGCAGATATGCCCAGAAACGCATTTTTGGGTGGAACGGTTCAGAATGAAGGGCATTCTGTGCATGCTGACAGGGTGGCGAAACGTGTCTTTGGCATGGGAAGCCGTGCAAGAAAGTTATATCGGGAAATCTGAAACTCATGAAAACTTCCCTATACGTAGGAAAAACCTCTTTCTTTGGGATGGGTTTTATGAAATCAATGCCCGGCTATCTCTCATCCATAGGCATGTAAATAATAGGCCATAATAATCTGTCAGAGTGTCATTCCGGAGAAACTCCTCTTAGACGGATGAACGGATTTTCATGAGTGAGATGCATCCCATGCATACAGGCGATTGGTGTTTCCCTGTAGACGAAACGCATCCCCTTATAATTGATCGAAAGCACGTTTGTTTGAAAATTTTAAGGTCCTGTCCCTTTAGAATATTATGCGGTGGAACTCACCGTTACTCATCGTTACAAAAAGGAAATGGGGGAATTTCTGATGACAGGA